ATATATAGAGATATATAGACAAATATATAAAGAGACAAACCGTGAGATCTGTACAAATAAACTCTGTGATTCCTTAGAGAAACTCAGAGTCATGAAGATCGAGTATTTACTGAAAGAGGTGTTTATTTTTGATTTCATGACCTGGTTTTAAAATGTCTCTCTGACCGTTGAGAGCCAAAGTGGTTCTGAACTGTCTGTTTGTAGAACCAGTTTTTTGTTTAGCACTGGGACCCAAAAACCCCCCCTCCACCATCTGGCTCAACGTCAGGAACAAACAAAGCTCACGTCAGATCATTTGAACTTGTTGAAAGTGGAGCCAATAATTTTGAATTTCCCTGAAGAAATCTTCCCAAAGTATCACTAAAGTTTTGTCTAATGTAAACAACAAGCCATACTATGATATTTTTTGGATTTAGTTTCCCTTGTGTTGTAACTAAACCACAGCCATGTTTCATTTGTTGGCACTAGCTGTGTTTTCAGGCTGATTTGTGGCAAGTTGATTTAATCTGTGGTGACTGATAGAGGCCGAGCAGTAAAGTCAAACTAACACTTTGCTTCTGTTTCCTGCTTTCCACCCAGAGCGATACTCGCAGTTGGTTTAACCTTTTCACTTCCACTTGTTCTCACTGCAGTTATGTCTCATTGTGCTCCTCGCTTCCTGTTCATTGTCAACCTTGTCCCGTCTGCTTCTTTCAAAAGTTACACCTGTCTTTCTTTTTTTTGTACTTGGTTTCATTTCTCTTATTGCTTTTGGCCTCTAAAACTCCATTAAGGCGCTCGCACACACGCACAGCTTCCGCGCCGCCCTGTTCCACCGCCGAAACCGAGGCGATCCAAGAAAGGTGTGTCTCGCTGCAGACTGCGGCTTCCCACCTCTTCTTTCTTCTTCTCTCTGGTTTGCTTCTCTCTCTGTCTCTTTCACGTTAAATGCATTTCTTTCAGTCACTGCTTCTCACTGGCAACCGGGGGAATTTTTGAAGCCGTAAATCTAATAATAAAATCACGCCACTTCCCAGAATTGTAGGCAAATTTGAACACTACAAGTGGGTTTTCTGAAGTAGTTTCGTTTTCTAGATGTGAGAATGTCACGCTTTTTTTTTTTGTAGTCTTTACAGATCTTTCCATAGGCTGACTTTTTCAAATTGGGTTCTCTGTAAGATTTGGTCAAAGATGTTAAAAGCCACGACCACATTCCTGACTCATTCCTCTCACTGTATACTCATTACAGATATTACAGCAGCGTGATGCTGATCAATTAACTCAAAGAAAACTTTTTTCCCCCCAAAGCCTGCTTCTTTGTAACTAAAGAGTTACATGATGACTGAAAGGTTACTTGTTCAAACATTCATCCTCTCTGATTTTCACCTGTGGCTTTGTGTAAACTCTGCATGGTGTCTCCTAAGGCCGGCTTCACACAGGCAGCGTGGCTTCTGAGCACATGTTGATTTTACTTTATACAAGATGGACTGATTAGAGCATTCACAGTGGGTGCCACTCGCATCATCATGTCAATGTCAGTTTTATTTATATAGCCCAGGTAAATACAACTGTGTCGACCAAAGTGAAGAGCAAACTAGACAAAACAACAAGAACATACATTTAAAAAAAGGAGCATAAACTGGTAAAATGAGGTTGACCATCTGAAACTTGAAACAGTCAGTCTTCATTTTTCTAAACATGCCAACCAGTTATTATACAACCTGTCAACAAAGTCGTAGTTTTGTTGAAGGATGCTTCAGCAGATATAAAGTTCTGTTAACTTTTAATGTAGGCTTTAACTAACCTGAAAGACTCTTGGTCAAAACAGGCAGCAGCTTAAAATGACGCTAAAATACAACACACGTAATATAGTGAAGAAAGTCTACACATGACCAAAAAAAATCACCTGACAGCTATAAATAATAAAAACTAAAATCAATCACAGAAAATACTCAGTCATCCATAAAAACATTAACATCCAGATGTTTAAAATGTGTTAAAATTCACTCAATGCAAATTCCTTCGGCTTCATCTGGTTTTAGAGCCGATTCCAGGAAGGCTCTCTTCAAGCCCTCAGTTATTTGACCAAACCCAGCAGCCTCCTTTATTTTTCTGAAGAATGTAGGTTCTGATGGAAGAAACTAACAAGGGTGAAACCGCTCCAAAGGTTTAATCTGTGAAAAGACAAACACAAGAATATTATGTAAAATGATGAGTCATAGTGGGGACGGCAGTGGCTGAGTGGTTAGAGCAGTCATCCTCCAATGTGAGAGTTGGGGGTTCGATTCCACCAGCAGTCACATGCTGAAGTGTCCCTGGGCAAGACACTGAAGCCCTCATTGCCTCTGATGCGTGTCCCATTGGTGTATGAATGTGATAAAGCACTGATTATTATTTGTATAGATCTATAGTAGAGTGCTGTATAAATGGGTAAATGAGGCACAGGTTGTTGTGTAAAGCATTTGAGTATCTTGATAAGATAGAAAGGCGCTATATAAGTACAGTCCATTTAATTTTAAGGTTTGTAACAAACTGAAGAGCCACTTGGGTGACTGAATAAAATGCATGCAAGTATAGCATTTATGTTGCATACAATAATCTATATGTATGTGTCAAGCTCAAGGCCTGGGGGCCAAATGTGGCCCTCATTGTCATCTTATCTGGCCCCCAAGATGATAGGTGAAACGTAAAATACTTCTATCTCTTGAATTTTTTTCAGTAATCTTTGATTATGATGTCGAAAGCACAACAGAGAACATCAAATGAGACCAATCAAACTCTTGTTGAGGAACCTGTGACCAAGAAAAGATGCTGCATATCTGATTTGAGTTCATGTAGTTTCTGAAATGGGCCTTTAGTTTGAAAAAGTTTTAATTTTGCCCCCCTTTTATAAGTGAATTTGACACCCCTGGTCTAAGACACAAAAGTGGCACATACAAGTTTTTTAATCCTTAAAAAGAAATACTGAACTTGATTTCAAAGAATAAACCAAGTTTTACATTGAGTTATTTTTTGAACCAGTTGCTGGAAGATGTGAAGGAAAGAAAATCATCAATCAGTATTTCTCAGTATTTGTATTTTTTAGGATTCACAACTAGTTTGCATTTTTACAAATTGAGCTGAAAAACAATATAAGAATGCTGGAGCTGATAAAGCTCCTGACAAGATGTTGACGCTGCAGAGTATTTCACAGCATCGCAGCATTTCCTGCATTAAAGTGGAAATTAGCGTTTGATACTTCTTGATCAATAGTGCTGAAAGGAATAAAGAGCAGCCCGAGAACCGGTCCCTGTGGGACACCTTTCTGTACGAAGGAAGCTAGAAGCAATGCCTTCAGCTTTCACACATTGACATCTGTTGCAGAAAAGTCAACATGAATGAACCAGAGCAGTTCAGAGATTTATCCGCCCATGATGCCTTTCTGCCTGTGTGAAGCCGGCCAGAACCTCAGACGAGTTCTCGAGATTATGTCCTGTTGCTTATGATGCCCCCCCACCCCTTCTTTTAATATTTTCCAGTGGAGTCTGCAGCAGTCTGGGAGGAGAGTGTGGACTCCTCCAGTCAAGGTTTGTGGTTGTCTCTCTGAGCCTCTCGATTGATCTGCATGATAAGACTCTTTGAAAGTGAAGACGACACGTTTCCACCTGCAGTTTTGCATCATCTGTTTTTTCTTCTTCTCTAGTTTAAACATCAGCGTCTTGGTGCTGAAAGTATGCAAGCTCAGCTGTATATTTCTCTATTAGGGATTGCTTGATGATTAGAAAATATAGCGTAGAATGTTGGCATTAAAAAAAACTTATTTCAAGAGGAAATCTATAATCTATAATCTTCCGTGTCTGGAACCAATTGTTATAAAGAGAAATAAAAGCTACGTAAATCCTGATTGATGTCAAGCAGTCTCTTTCTAACTTTTCTTTTCATTTCACAGTTTAAGTGGCCTTATTTAAACATTTAACATTTTTGTTTGCTTGCAGTTTTGCTCCAAACGTTGCTAAAAGTTGGATGTCTTTTTGTTTTAATAAATATGTAGTCTAGCTCTAACTACTAATCTTTCATATTGTTTCCATTAGAGCCTTGGTTTGTGTCACTGTCTTGATGCGACTGTCTCGGGTTAGCATGATGCTGAGGGAGTCCTGCAGAGCTGAAGAGCTGCATGTGGTGACCCGACTCGTACCTCGTTCCTTTAAACACGGTCTGATGTCGAGGTTTGTGCTGCTCTTTTTGCCCCTCAGATCCTCCTCAGACTGCTGCCCCTGCAGCTGGAGGGAAACTGTCCTCCGGACCTCGCAAGATGGTTGCCATTTTTGATTATGATCCACGAGAGAGTTCCCCCAACACTGACATAGAGGTCTGAACTTCACTTTTATTGTTTGGCTTTAAACAGTATGCGCAGTAAATGTAAATCAAATAATGATCCCTTTTGGTTCTGGCTGTGTTCAGGCAGAGCTGACTTTCAGTGCAGGAGACGTCATATACGTGTTCGGTGACATGGACGAAGACGGTTTCTTTTACGTAAGTGTCATCAGTGTAAAGTTTGACAGTCAAACTTTACACCCTTTAATAAAACGTCCCAACCACTTTGAAGTGGAGTTCTGTGGAAAGGTTTCAGTGGTTCTCAAACGTTGTGTAATGCATACCACCTCAACAAATACTTATCTCCTCGAGTTCCGCTCCTAATGACAGTATTTACAAAAGCTTAAATTCACATCTGATGTGCTCAAACCCCACCCCTGGGCTGCAGTTTAAGTTATGACAGTTCCATGTATTGACCCATAACAATTCAATACCAATTTGAAATCATTTGAATCAGATTTCCTCACTGTGTTTGCACCTTTCAGAGACTTTACTGGTGCTGCTTGAGTGGCCACTAGCACGCTGGTTCACTGTCGCCCAATATAGTTTCCAAAGAAGTTCTCAATTTGTTCTTTTTTTTGTATTTTGTTTCATTGTTTCGAGTAGTTTTCATCTAAAGCCAAGATTGCAATGTACAGTAGTCCCTCAGTTATTGCGGGGGTTACATTCCACACCCACACCCGCGATAGGCATATCTTTTCCTTAGTTTACACATATACCAGGAGAAATTTGATAAGTCGGCCTGCTTCGAGGCCAAACGGGGGAGTCAGGTTCAGATAAGTCACAATTGTTATTTTTTTTCAGGCAGACTGTTTTTTTTTCTTGTCAGCCTTGAGTCCTGCTGGTACTTTCAAGATCCAAACTGGCCAGATTTGTGGGCATTCTTCTGGTTTGTGCTTATTAGCCCCCTCCAAGATCGTCTCCAACATGCTGGCGAGTCCCAGAAGCCGCAGGTCACAAATCGCTTCCATCTTACGGTTTAGCTTGTAAATCAGCTGATTTTGAGTACTCGAAGCACAAATCAAACCTTCACACAGACTCAGCAATTTTGCCTGCCATGGTCGCAACTGCTGCCGTCGTCTTCCTCAGTAGCCGATAACATAAGAATCCATCGATAACAAAAAGCAGAAACCCTGCTATCATGATTCCAATTATATAAACATCTTCGGCATCCTCCTGAGACAGAATAGAAAGGCACATCAGCTCCCAAACTCCCCACGGATCCATGACGTATCCTGCCGCGTGCGTCTCAGCAGGGCTTGAGGGTTCTCCAGGACCCTGTCCCTTTGTTGAAAAGATTTTATCGATTGCGTTGAAAGTCCAGCTGACCAGATCCATGACAGTAGTTTTAGTTTCGGAAAATGTGTAAAATAGAAGCTCCGATGCATAAGACAGCGAGCACAAAAAGCAGGAGAGCAGGAGGAGGAGGAAAAAGCGTCCGCCTTGCACAAGAGCAAGTGAGGAAAATAGCTTTTAGAGTGGATTGTTGCTATCTTAAAATGTTTATCTGAAAAAAATTCACAATCATTCGTTGGAACATTAGTTTAAAATCCTTTACATCAGTCAGTTTCTCAACTCGTGGTTATTTACATAGAAATCTGTGGTTTTGTGCAAGTAAATTATTGACTGCAGCTGCTAGCAACAGCTCCTCTGTTGCAACTTGGGACTCTTCTGGCAGGAAGTAGTTTTATTTCTGACCTGTTTAAGATCTCCTTAAAAACAACCTTATAATGCATAATGAGCAGCATGACACAAAGTGACCAACAGCTGCTGACAGACTCCTGTCAGAGCAAACATAAATCTGGTCATTGTAGAGAGTGCATTTCATTACATTAGAATGTTTTGTCCTGCAGGGAGACTTGAATGGACACCGGGGCTTAGTGCCCTCCAACTTCCTGCAACCCATTCCAGATTACGCTCCAGCAGAACCAGTTTGTGCTCCACCTGCACCAGAACCCAAGAAGGAATCTCTGGTAACTTAGCCTACCTGTCATGTTTAGCATGTATTGATGTATCAAACCTTTTTTTTAAACCACTAATATCTTAAATTTCTTTGTGTTATTTTTTTCTGTCATTTAAAATCGCATGGTTGCTCTTTGTTTTTCTTCTTCTTTCACATCTACGTCCTGTTGCATCTCTTCTGCCCCACTGTTTGCTGCATGGTGTTTTGCAGAAGCATAAACGATCTGTACACTTTGAGACGTGATTGTAAGTGTTTAACATGGCGACTATCTGTGAACCAAACCTCCTCCATCCACTCAGCTGTACTCCACTCTGCTTCTTTGCATAGAATCCTGCACCTACTAGAGTGTTAGTTTGTTAAACCTTGAGTTCAGTAGAAATCTGTTTTTATGTGTTTTTAAAGACATTAGCCTCTCCATTAGGTGTGTATACTAAGCTTTGATTATGTCTCATACAATATGCAGTCATGGTAAAAAGAATGCTTCAGATCTGGGGTTTTACACATCAGGACATAAGAAGAATAATCTGGTCTTTACCAGGTTATTTAAATACAAACTTTCATGTACAAAACCACACACCAGTTTTAACATAACTGTTTTTTTCCACTTTGGAGTAGTCTGTTGGGGGAGAAGCAGTTTTGTTTGGTGGTTCCTCAAACTGATGAAGCCTTCTGGATGGAAGGTGAAACATCTCAGCAAAAAAAAAAAAAAAATGTCCAGATGACCGGACTGAACATTGTTGAGCATGGACTTTGGTGCACACACCGGTCTGCTCCACATCATTCTTTGTTAAACAAAACCAAAACCAAAGTGGAAAAACTGTGAGTGAAAAAGTCCATTTCTGCTTCTAGAAGATTTAGGAGGTTCAGTATCAGCCAGATGCTGCTGACCACACGTACTGGCTCTCAGATTCTTAGGCCCAGTCAGCAGGTTAAAGGTTAAATCTGATGACAGTATGATTAGAAAAAGATTGAACAAGTATGTCTTGTTTAGAAGGGTTGCTGGAGAAATCCTCTTCTGTCTAAAAACAACACGACAGCTTGACTTCGGTTAGAGCAGGGGTCTGCAACCTGTGGCTTTGGGGCCACATGCAGCTCTTTGGTCCCTCATCTGTGGCTCAGTGAAGCTTTGACCATAACTTACAGGAAATTTCATTGTTCCGTTTTTTTTACCCACAACACAAAAGGCTAGTTTTGGCTGTTTTTTTTTTGTAAATTTTCTGCAAATGTTTGAGTGACACTATTTTTTGTTTTATCACTTCAAAGTGATAAAAAGGTTAAAGGTTAAATCATGCCATCTGGGCAAGTTTCTTTAATCCCCTCACATAAAAGACCGCATAGACCTGCAGAGTTCAGTGCTTTCATTTTCATCTAAAGCTAGAAGTTTTTACTTCTTTACATCATAGACTTAATTTTTGTCCCAGAATGCAAAAATATTGATAAATGTTGAAATTCATTATTTTAAAATGTCACCCCCACTGCTCAGAAAAGCCCCCTCCAGCTAACTCAAAGTGGCCCATGGGCCACCAGTTGATCATCACAGTTGTAGCAGATTTCATGGCTCTGGGCTCTTTTTTATTTAATGAGAAATGGCTCTTTGATCAAAAAGGTTGCAGACCCCTGGGTTCGAGTATTGGCTGGAATATGTTGAGTATTTCTCCACGCTTCAGGTTTGTTTGTAATAATTTTAGAACCTGGTAAAGATCAGATGGTTTTTATTATGTCCTGATACGTAAAAGAATTAAAAGAAGGCGGGCTTTCTTTTTCTCATTTCTGCACATAAAACTTGTATTTTCCTCTTCTAGGACACCTGGACATCCACTTCAGAACCCCTGGGTTCTGGCCCCTCAACACTAGAAGAGGCTTTGCGCCCTACAACCGAACCCCTTCACCCAGACATGCCAGAGGACACAGACCTGCGAGCACAGCTGCAAGTCACAACGAGCACAGCGCCAGACAAGGACCCAGTTCCAGGTCCAGCTTCTGAGGAGGTCTGCTGCTCTCCTCCAGCCCCCCTTCCTTCAGGCAGCCCCACACCAACAGACTCCTCCATGCAAGCAAAGAAGAAGAAAAGCTTCTTCTCTAAAGGCAAGAAGTTGTTCAAAAAGCTGGGATCCAGCAAGAAGGAATGAGTCAGGACTCTGCGTCACGGTTCAAGCACTTTTCCTGTCTGTACTGTTGGTGTCATTTAAAACTCAACTCTCTGATCTAATAACAGACACTTAGCAGTTATACACCTGCCTTAGAGCACTGCTACCCCAGAATCCTTTAAAACAGGACAGATCTGCTTACAGTTCCAGCATCGTAAGAGCATGCACACATGCATGTGATCAAGCTTCGTATAAGTGTTCAAAAAAACGCAGCAATAATCTTCCAACGCGTTCAGCGCAGACAGCTCAGCGAATATTAGCTTTAACCCTGGTGAGCTTGTGCCACGTCATTTCTTTAAGGCAAACAGACCGAAGCTGTTTGACTTCTGCTTTCCTCCTGTATTTATTGTCTGTAGGAGTTTCTGTATGATACGTTATTTGCAACAGCTCTTTTTGTCACATCACATGAAGTGGCATCAGCAGTGGTTCATTAGTTCATGTGGAGCTGTGGATTTAGCTTCGTGAGGAACAACACAAGTTCAAGTTGGATTTAAGTTTAGGGCTCGAACGAGTGAAAATGTAGTCGCTGGTTTGTTTTGTGTGTAGTCTTTGAAGTTTCAGTCTGCTGACGGGACTGATGAATGATGCCTTTATTCAAGGAAATCTTGATGGCCTAATTAGTGCGTGTGTGTATCAAGGGCTGAACAAGAAATATGAACAAATTAACCAATTAGAACTGATGCAGATTACGGTACTTTTTTCCTTCGCAAACCTGAAATCCATAAAAAAAAAAAAATAGATGATTTGATTGAGCATTTATTTGATTATCAAAATGATTGGACAATTTTCCTCTTAATTCAGTGTATCTGATTGTGTAAATCACTGTAAGACGAACCGTCCTTAAAATCTGCATAATTTATACAAACGAACAGAGTCAGTGCTACTGGAAGTTACTCACAATATTTTAGTAACTTTAAAGCTGAAAAGGGGGCTCAGTTTCCATGAACCCACCTTTAATTTGTTTAAACATTGACAAGATGACAGCATTAAATAACTGATAACTCGCCCTGCTTGCTGTGAGCTCCTTCATACATGAATTACACAAAAGATCACCGAGTTGAGACAAGTTGCTGCGGTTGGACAGATTCTGTTCCTTGATTTGTTCAGCCATATACATCTGATCTCTGACTCTTAAATGACAGATGAGATCTGTTAAGATGGGTTTCTGCAGAAAGAACAGTTAATGTCTTACCTGTTGAGGATAGCGTTTTGAACAGGCTCAGTTTGGAGAAATACTTTATTTGTAGTGAATTAACGAGCTAACAGCTACTCTAAGGGGTACAGGCCAAAGTGGCTTGTTGTCTCAACAAGTCAAAATGCTTCAAGTAAAATTATTCACTTTTGCATCGTCATCAGTTTCACGTTACATGCACATTCTGAAGATTAATTCTAATGTTTCTGCTGCACCCAGCTGCACAGGAAGTGCTACCGCTAGTAATTCATGCTACAAAATAATAATGTTTTTTTCTATAAATGATTGTAATGTGAAATTGATAATGATGCAAAGCTTGAAAAAATAGCGGTTGCATGAACCGCCATGATTTTTTATTTTAGATATACGTTGTTTTAAGAAGTCACCAAACCACCTTGGTCTTAAGATTAACCCAGACTAGCCATTAGCTCATCAGTGCTATCAGAATTAAACTGTTTCTCCAAACTGCGGCCATTCAAACACTATCTGCAGTTCTTGACACTCAGCTGTCGTTGTAAATGCTAATGTGGCGTTAGCTCAGGCTAATCTCCAAAATCACACAAGATTCTAGTAGATTAAAGCCGTCTGTCAGCATTTAGACTTCAGCATCATTTGAATACAGCGTGTGGAGTATTATGTTTGTTTTATGTTGACAGTTAACAGGAACATCACTTCCTGTGTGTTTACACTGATGGCTCATGGTACTTGGTGTTCTCCCGTAGGCTCTGCAGTCAGTTAGCCGTGGATCTGAAGTTCATCTTGTGGTGGTTGATGTTCAGGCGAACATTCATTCCACCTTTATTCAGACAGGTTAATCCCACTGAGCCTCGAGGACTCATTTAAAAGAGAGACCTGAACATGATGAACTATGTTACTCGTTTCTGCATGCAGTGTAGAAATGAGTTTTTCTGTCCGCTCACTTGCACCGAGCACGAGAGAACTGTTACAGCTAAAGGGCGGCAGCTGAGCGTGTGGTCCAGTAATAACTCCATCCGTATAGAGGTTTGTAAGGCTGCAGTGTGGAGCAACGATTAGAGTTCAAGTGACGGTTCAGCCATTTTGAAGTGGGTTTCTGTCCAAAAGTTATAATCATTTGTAGAAAGCTGTTTGAAAGACCTCAGTTTGGAGGATTGGAGTTTAATTCAAACCAAATTAACAAGTCACACTACAAATAGTGACAACCGAAGTGGACTGCAGCTGTCCTGAAGGAACTCATCCATCCATCCATTATCTTTACCCGCTTATTCCATTTTGGGTCACGGGGGTCGCCGGTGCCCATGTCCAGCAATCACTGTGCGAGGGGCGGGGTACACCCTGGACGGGTCGCAAGTCCATCACAGGGACACATAGAGACAAACGAGACAAACAACCATTCACTCTCTCACTCACACCTAGGGACAATTTAGAGTTACCAATCAGCCTAACATGCATGTTTTTGGTCTGTGGGAGGAAACCGGAGCACCCGGAGAAAACCCACGCATGCACAGAGAGAACATGCAAACTCCACCCAGAAAGGCCCCTGGACCGGGGTTTGAACCAAGGACCTGCTCGCTGAGAGGCAGCAGCTCTACCAGTTGCGCCACCGTGCGCCCTGATTATTGGGGGAAATTGTGGTTTCTAATTTTTATGTTACAGTAGTCCCTCACTTACCGCCGGGGGTTATGCTCCAGACGCCCCCTGCGATAGGTGAAAATCCACAAAGTAGGGATGTTATAATTATTTTAGTGTGTATACATATTTTAAGGCTTTATAAACCCTTCCCCCACTCTTGCAATGTTCTTAACAATGTTCTTAACTCTCTAAACTCTCTAAAAGAGCATAGTGAAAGAGAGCAGACAGACAGATGTTTTGGTTACTGAGCTAATCAGTGCCCGGGGGCGGACTGGCCATTGAGAGCACTGGGACATTTCCCAGTTCATTAAATGTCCCAGCTCGGTTCGGTTCGGCTCTGTTTGGGTTAAGGCTTGGTTGGGGTCGTGCTTGATTATTTTAAATAAGCAATCCATGCCACTCACTGTGGTATCTGACCCACTGAAGCTCCCACAGCAGCAATGGGGAAAGACAGACCCCACTCCCGCCCCCTCCTTTCTCTTTCTGACCCCTCGGTGATCGCTGAGCGGCCAGGCCACCGGGAAACAACGTGTACAATCTTATGTTGAAAACCCGCGAAAGAATGAGTCCGCGAAAGTCGAACCACAAAGTATCGAGGGACTTCTGTACCTAAAAGTAGTTTCCACAAATGATTGGGGTGGCTAAAAATTAATTTATGTTGGCCAAGGCCACCATTGGCCACCCCCTAGCTCTGCTATTGGTCCAGGTGGTGGATAAATTCCACTCACCAGAATCTGTCGCTCTGCACCACCTCAGACAAGCAAAAACACCTACAGTTCTCCACAGTGTAACTTCTACCCACTTGAAATTTTGCACCAAAAACATTAATTTAACATTTTATTTAATTTCCCTCTGGGATTAATAAAGTATTTTTGAATTTGAATTGAATTGAATTAAGGTTTGCTTGCATTTCCTCTTTAGTTCCAGTCCAGTAAAACACTCAATTCAAAAACTACAAATGTTTGCTCTTCATATCCCTCAGCGGCGGGGGACATCTGGTCACCTTTGGTAAATCTATGGTTATTTACAAACATAAAACACGATTCTTGGGTCTGCCAGCAGATAAATAATTAAGACAGTTGTGTTTTAGACTCATTAATACAGTGTGAGTGGACTGGCTTCCAAAGCTGGTTTAGTCTCTTAAAATGGCTTCAATCTTCAAAATTTCAATTCAGATAAATGATAGTTCCGTTTTTGCACCTCTTTAAAGTTATTTTAGCAGAAGGCCTGTGGAGTTCCTGCCCGACTGTTTACACGTGTAACAAAAACACTGACTTCCATGTAAATAACTACATAATGATAAATTGATGACAATGTAAAGGTTTATTTTATTTTTTTAAAGGAGTGTGAATGAACCTTTATTAAACTGTGAGGACTGAGGTTCTTCAAACAGCTATCTACAGCAGGTAAGATATTATTGATGATTTCTACGCAGAAATCCACCTAAAAATGTCAATGCCTTTAGGTCAATCAGTGATGGGCCACAGGTGCAGCAGGCTTTATATCTTCTGTGTGACAGGACTGTTTGGTCGTCATCGTGTTTCCTCGATCGACTGTCAGAAAGCAGCAGAATATGCCAAAACTTTTGGTGCTTTTTCTTGTTTCCACAGTTCAGATAGACACCGTTTCCACAGAGTCCTCTTGTTTGTTCTCTCCGTTTGTCCCGTTTTGAACCTCAGTCTACATAAAGGGAGCGTGATGATGCCAAGAACAAAAGGGAAGAAGAACTTCATCAGATACACTCCAGGTGTGAAATAGACGCGAGACAGTGGCAGTACTGTACGTTTTATTTGACTTTATTTATATTTATTTCTTTTGGGGTGAGGGTTTACATGATGCCCAAATGGACAGCAGATATTTGTGAAATATTTGACGGCCTTTAATGCACTAAAAGTCCTCCACCTGCTACGAAGCATCAACTGACAGACCCATATTTAGAGTTTTAGCTCAGGTGATCTTATTTAGCCTTACATAATAACCTTGTTTAGTCTTAACTTGTTTACAGGATGTTTATTGACTGCATGCATAATGTTACACCCATGTTCGGCCTTATTTATGTTGGAGTTACAGGTGGACTCTGCTGCGATGTTGAAGTTCTAGATGGAGGCTGTAGGATGTACATGTCTTGTAAAATGTTCATACAGCAGCAGATACTTTATTTTTTGTTTTTCTTTCCTCGTCTGCATTCAATCATTGTTTGAAACCATTGTAAGATTAAGCTTCGTTTATATAATATATACATTTAAAATGTTTTATTACCCTTTTTGGATGCTCATCTGTACATGCGTTTGTTTTTCAGATTTTATTTTGTTGTTGTTTTGTCTCTGCATGACTGAGCAGTGCTGACGGGAGGACTGAAGACGTAGAGAACTTATTCTTGACTTGAAAATGCGGCGAATTCTTTCAAAAAGAAACTTTTTACCAGAATAAAGTCTGTTTATTTTCACAGAAAGCCGTGAGCAGGTTGTGTCTGTGTGCAGGTGGGGGTGAGAAAGG